TATAATGGCAGACAAAATTCCGACAATTGAAGACTTTTCATTCTCCTATACAAAATTTCGAGGGACTCGACGGTAGAAGAAGGAAGGGGAGAAGAATGGGAGTGAGCCCAATAACAGCCAGAGGGGAGGAGAGAACAATGGGCTAATGTTGATCCTCACAATGGACGATCATCGGAATGAAGAATAAAAGTCCTGCAAGGCGAGAGGAGACAGGCCGTTGAGTTCTTGAGTAGGCCAAGGATATAAAATGAGGGCATGAGGCGGAGGTAGCTTACCTTGACAAATATTTGAAAGCCTGAGAGTGTCTGTGTGCAGAGGTTGGTTATGTACAACTCAGTGTAGTGTTGAGAGAGGTTTTGTTGCGGAAGGAAGGTCTGTAGTAGAAATGTTCGAAAGACTTCGCCCTATAGCAGAGGCTAATGCATTAGTCAAAGTACTCAAATTCACCTATACTGCAGGAGAAACAGCGCAAAAGAAGGGCATTCCTAGTTATTTTCAAACAAGGCAAAAGAGGGGTGAGAGATCCGTCGTTTTGTGTGATTTGCAAGAGTATCAAATGCTACAATTATAGGACTGTTGTATACAGGCCATGATTCGCAAAGAAAATGAACCACAAACTCTGGAGGAAAGGCGTCAAAATACTTAGATACCTTAAAGGTCCTCAAATGGGCCTAAATGATGTCCAAAGATATTTTTTGAAGGTGCGATTGTGATCTCCAAAGTTTAGTTTTTATAGGTAGCAAATTAACGTCGTTTGGAAATAAATTAAGAATCGCCTGGATGAAAGCAATTCGAATTCCAAAATTGACGGAAGAAGTTTGGAAGCTTTTGAGACACTCATGAGATGAAAATGCAAACGCTTCGAGTCCATGAGTAGTGTTTGGTCAAATGAATCGCTTGAGAAATTCCTAAGCTATTCTAGAACTTCCAGGAGTTGGAGCTTAAATAAAAAATGTAGATTGACATAATGCAAACAGAAAGCAGTATGAGAGTTATCCAAAAGGGAGAAAGGAAATCGGCCTTGTGTTATTCAAAGCATTGACGTGGAACTAACTTACCCTGGCAGAGTTGAGGGCATAGATGCAGCTAGCGGCCTCGTTGAGTGTCAACACAAACTGAGCGTCATTGAGAGGGAAAGTGGAGCGAGCCGGCGTCAGAAAGGCTAGAGGCAGGAGGTGAGGGAGCAGAAAATTTTCGTAGAAGGTGTCATCACTCGCGAAGTGAGTGATGCAACCAAGGAAGAAGGCCAGACCATACCGCATACCCACAGCATCCCCCCCATCCAAGCAGGCTTCAGTTAGACTAACCAACGACACTAGAACCTGTACAAATCAGAGGGATGTCGAGCGATCATTCTACATTCGTTCTATTAATCGAAATTCCTGATTTGGAGGTATTTTCAGACAGCAGCTACTGGTAAGTGAATAGCGACCCGTTCGTAAGATAAATAGTAGTCAATGAGAGCAAAAAAATAATTTGAGGCGCAAAATGAAGAACACTTACGTTGGCAGCATCTGAACCAAGAGCAATGAGGATGCCTTCAGGCAGAACTTGGCCAATAGCTTGAAGGACTTGGAGCAGAGCGCGTCGCAAAGCACATCGCTCCATCATTGCCGGCATCTGTGTCGCTTCTAGCGGCTCGGCCAGTGCACTCATTGTTGAGGCGATCAGTGGTGGCAAACACTCTGATAGGACAGACAGGCAGCGATCCTAACAAAATACCGTCGGCTACAAAATCTTCTCATTGCTAACATTTTATAAATTTGCTAGATGAAGGATTTGTGGAACCACAAAAACCTGCTGTTTTGTAGAATTTCAGTACTAATAAAGCATGCGTAATGCGCCATTCTGTCGAATGCTCAGCCTACGCAGTTGTGGATTACAGTAGACTTGACACACATTTTTGGGCATTTTGAACCTCACAATATGTCCACAATGAAAGAAACTGTCAGTAGAACCGAATTCCCCCTCAAATAAATTTAGTGACTTCCAACCTCTATGAAGGCTTGCTTTCGTCTGTCGATAATTCTGCAC